GCTTGCACACATGAAAAAATTCTGAGTTATCTATTCTCCTTAAGCTTTCACTCAATAACACAAAGCTTGCACACATGAAATAAAAGCTTTGAGTGAGAGTCTACATAAATAACATATATGTAAAAATGTTAAGATAAAACTCAAAGGTATTAAAATTACCCTAAAACTATCTCAAGATTACTCTAAAACTTTAAAGCTACATTAGGAACCCTTAAAATCTCCTTTTAAATTCATACCTCTTCATAACATAATTATTTTGCTAGCACCATTCATGTCTTCCAAAGTTTGAACGTCATTTATAAATGGTTTAGAATATATATATATATATATATATATATATATATATTCAAGTACCCTCTATCTGTCGTGAACGTACAATATGAAAGGAACAGGAAGGAGAAAGATAACCAAAAAGCAAATGATGGGAAAGGAATTAAAAAAGGATGGGAAGGACGTGAAAGGCAAGACTTCTGATAAACAAAACAATGATGTGAGAGCTAAATTTACCTTACTGGCGGCAGCAGCAGAGCAAACGTTGCATGAGAAAGCAAGAGATGGAAACTAGGTTTTGGATAAAATTTTCCTTTACTGGCGGCAGTAGGGCTCGTTGAATTTGTAAAGTTTTAACTCAATTTTCTTTCCATTTATTATTTAAAATTTCTTTTAGATAAAACAAGTTTAAAGATAACTTAAAAAGATTTAATATATTTTAAAACTTAATCATATTTCTTATTATTATTTTTATTTTTTTTTCATAAGTTAGTTTCACATATTTAATAAGTTTAATTCCTTTAATTATTTATTTTTTATTTTTTTTTAGCCCAACTCATAAACCTATCTCATCTAAGGCCCAACCTAATTCAGTGTATTACATATATGAGTGTTGATATGAAAGTTATGGTACTATGCATAAGAAAAGCTTTATATCTAATATATAAAAGATAATACTTTGAATACCTTTAGATATAAAATCACTTTAAGATAAAAAAAATATAATAATATAAAATAACTTTACTGTATACAAATCATTTTTTAAATTACATATAATATGGAACAATATAGATAAAACATGTTAAAAAGTATTTGTTCAATAATTATAGTTAACTATTATATATTTAAAAAATAATTAGATATAAATATAGTTGACTAGTCTATATCATCATCAAAACTTAACCCAAAGTAAAATTATGTTTTAGTCTATAGGCCAACCAAAGTATTTATGTCCCAACGTGTAATGGTCACTGAGGTCAAATATATCATGTCATCAAAAATTAACCCTGGAACTAAATATTAATTATCATAATTTGCAGTAATTAATTATCATTTTCATATTCCAAGGATATTTTTTTATTATTCTCCCAAAATTAAAATTTTAGATGCTAGTGAAGATATCTCATGTTAGATAAAATTGAAAATTTCATATCTAAATTGGACAATTTAAATTTCAATTATTTATATTTTTAAAAGGAAAAAACTAACATGTTTTTTGCATAAAAAATTAACAACAACATTAAGAAACAAGAGTTTAGGAAAAAGTCTATAGGACAAGGAGGTAAGAAAAGATAAAGGTCATGAAAAATATTAAACTCAATGAAGCCTAGTAGAGTAGCTAGATTGGTGATGTCTTGCACCAAAAGAATTATATATATATATATATATATATATAATGACAAATAATTTAAATACAGTTAAAAGAAAAAAAAAGGAATATAAAAGCAAGAAACTAAAAAAAAAGAAGAAGAAAGATGAAAGACACATGTCTACTTGAATGGAGTTGATTTTAAGCTTTCACCAAAAGATGGAACAAGTAATGTTGTGATAATAACCCAGGAAAAAGTATTTTGTTAAAACATGAGAAGTAGATGGTGTAAAAACTAACATGTTAATTCATATCTAATTTTGAAATTTTATTATAATTGGACAACATACTAGACAAGGCCCCAGGCCTGACAACAGATGCATAGAAAGAAATAATTTTACTCCTTGTTAATGGAAATTCGCCGTGGAAAGGAAGCAGTGAGACGACTTTAATTTGTTTTACTTGACCCTACAGATTTAAAATAATCGAGGTGGCCCACGTGATATTACATGTCAATAATTCTCCTTACTTGTAAACAAATTTGTGGAAAGGAAATAGTTGTTTTCAATTCTGTTTCAGAATAGTCCAACCAAAATATTTCTTTTCCAACTTATAATAGTTACTGACGTTAAATATGTCATTACCATCAGGCAACTTATCATATTTTTTGTCATTAATTATCATTTGCATATTTTGAGGACTTTTTTTATTATTTTTCCAAAATTAAAATCTTAAATGTTTGTGAAGATATCTCATGTTAGATAAAATGAAAAATTTTCTATCTAATTTGGAAAATTTAAATTTAAATTATTTTTATTTTAAAAGGAAAAAACTAACATGTTTTTTTAATATAAAAAGATCAATAATAACATTAAGAAAAGAGTTTACAATACTTAGGTAGGGAAAAAGTCTAAAGGACAACGAGGTAAGAACAAATAAAACTCATGAGAAATATTGAACTCAACTAAGTTTGTGTTTAGATAAAAAAAATTTATAACTAAAGTTAGAAAAAAAATCTGTAACTTTAACATAATATGTATTTGAATATTTTTTTTCAGAAGTTATTTAAATGAACTAAAATTTATTTGAATGATTAGATTTAAAATCTTGTTGAGATGTATAATGACAAAAACAAATATAAATTTATTTTATATATTTTTGTGATTAATTTTATATTTTTTTAAAAAATAGTAATCTTAAAATTACAATTTTTGAAAAGTAGATTACAAATATAATACAAATATAATTGAAATTTTTTTATATAATTTAATTCAAAAGCCAATTTAGGTGTATAATGATTAAAAAACATAAATTTTATGATATATATATATATATATATATTTTAATCATTTAATGCTTTTATGAAAAGTAATAAACTTTTACGTATAATGTATAAAAGCGTTTGAATTTTTTGATAAATATTTTTAAAATTTAATCTTTTTTAAAATATTGAACTTTAACTTATAATTTTGTTAAAAAAGAGTCTATATTTTCATCAAATTTTTTTGATATTTTCCAAATATAAGCTATTTTTTAAAAAAAGAAAAAAGACTAAACTAATCTTCTGCATTCAGTTTGGCGCTTTTTTGCCCATCATATACTTGTTAAAATCTTTAAAGGTTAGAAAACAATAAAAAATATTTTCTTGAAAAATTTTATTCAAAAAGCAGTTGAAATATATAATAATAAAAATGTACATAATTTTTTTATATACACATATATTTATGATTAATTTTATATTTTAAAAAAATATTAAACTTAAAGTAAATAATTTTTTTTAAAAGAGCAGATTAAAAATAAGAGTGTGCTAAATTTACATTAAAATGAAGAAGGCAGAGTAAAGAAGAGGTGATAGGGTGAGATGAGAGAATGAGGAGAGAGAAGCTAATAATTATTTTAATTATGTTAAATCCCCACCAGCGTTGCGTAAGTCAAATATACTAGGACTATGCCCCGGGCCCCACAAAAGGTGCAAAGAAAAAGATGATTTTACTCCTTGTTGATGCGTGGAAAGTAAGTAGTGAGAAGACTTCAATTTGTTTTACCTGACCCTACAAATTTAAAGTAATAAAAATGGCCCACATAATAATAATAATTGAGAGTCATAATAATATAATATATCAATGATTCTCCTTAATTTATCATCCGTTTCTGTCCATGGCTACAATGGTCTTACATTTTTCATTTGGTTCTGATTGAGAACTACATTTAAACTAATAATTAGAAAACAAACTTTGAAAGGCTGAGATAATTTTTTTAATTTCTTGGTGAGTAGGTTGATATTCAGTCCCTAATATTTACAGTTTGCTCCATCTCCGTCCCTGGAGTTAAAAAAACTACTTCACTCCTCCATGAAATATTAGACGTGGCAGGACGGGGAATTAACGGCGTTAGCTTTGTTCAAATGACATCCTAATCATCAAGCAAGTGAGATTGAAGGATCTAAAGCTGAAGAAATCAAAGATGTCGTTTAACCCCATCAACTCAGCGTTTTGGCAAGCGATTTTAGAAATGATTCATGGGTTAAAAACTATGTGATTAGCCGCTTGCCTGACGATTAGGATAAAATCTGAGCAAAGTTAACGCCGTTAGTTCCACGCATTGCGACGTCTGATGTTTTGGGGAGGACTGGAGCCTTTTTTTTTTTTTTTTTTTGTCTTTTTCCTACCGAGGAGCTTTTTTTAAACTAAAGGAATGGAGCGAACAGTGTAAACACGAGTAGCAAGTAGCCAAGTACCAACAAGTTAAATCATAGGACCCGAATTACAAGCTTAATAAAATTATAAGGAATAAATAATTAATTTTTTTTTGAAATCCAATTTTAATATTTTTTAACTAAAAATTTAATTATTTAATTATTAAAATTTTAATTCATTTATAATTTAATTTTTAAATTTTAATTTATTACAATTCAAACTTTATAATTTTAATTCGATTATAATTTTATTTATAAATTTTAATTTTTATAACTTAATCTTTATAATTTTAATTATTTAACAAATTAATTTTTATATCTAACAAATAAATTTAATATTTATAATCCTTAAAAAGATAATAAAAATTTAATAATTTAAAATATTAAGTCTAAATTTTAACCTACGTTTAATAGTTATAATTTTATTTTTATAATATATAAAAATATTTTAAATAATTAAAATTATAAAAATTATAATATAATAGTCCAATTTTAAGAATTAAATTATAATTAAATTACAATTATAGAAATTAAATTAAAATAAATGAAAATTTATAAATTGAATTATAATTAAATTAAATTTTTAATAATTAAATAATTAATTTTTTTTAAATTTATTTGAATGGAAATATCAAACTTGACTGAAGTACAGGAATAAAGCCACTGAATGGTGTGGCCTTTGGTGCGCGTTAAACGCGTCAGCTTTATCTTTGTGATGTGACGGAACAAGCCGAATCACGATGAGATCGCTCTGCTTTTTTTAGAGAATCTCTCTTCAATTATGCGCCTCACCCATTGGTGTTCTTATCATCTTCATCGTTGTGCTGTATTGCTATTCTGCACAGCTATTCTTCTCCTTTGGTGCTTCTCACTCAATTATTGCTCTGCTTCTTCTCAAGCGCACTACTCCTAGCAAGTCTCTCTCTATTTTTGTGCTCTCTCTCTCTCTCACACATTCTTGTCTCTCTGTTACTGGTTCTTCTTCTCAGGCTCATCAGTCTCATATGTCACATCTCCAATTTCTTTGCTTCCAAACATGGACGCTTCTCAGGCGGTTTCAGGTAAAATAAATCGGACCCTTCTTTCTTTTTCTCCTAAAATAGTTCTTCATAATTGATTTTTCATAAATCATGACAATATTTTTGCTTTTTTTTTCTTGCTAGATAACTGAGAAGATCCACATCATCAATGGAAAGATTTGAATTGCTTAACTCTTATTTGACATGGTTGTTGCAAGATTTCATGTTGGTTTCTTTTTAAAGTTACTTTATTAAATAAAGAAACTTTTTTAATACCTGAGTAAGATAAGAACTGAAATTTTATACAAAGTTAATGAATAAAATATTGTACAGTTTTGTCTTATTATTAAATTATTATTATGATCGGTCACACTTAGCTTATTTGTATAAGTTACTTCAAATTAAAAGTATCTTGTTCCCCTAATTGCTTTTGTTAATCAAATTTCACAAAATAAAAATGAAAATCGAAAAATTGGTCGATTAATTAGTAATTTCACTATCGATCTCATATTTGTTATCTTTCCTGAAGTTTCTTTCTTTATTACAGTTTGTGTGCGGTGATATCTCCATGCATGTTCATGGCAGATTGGCTTCTCCAATTTTCTTACTTCCAAGCAGTTGGCTAACTTGAATTATATGCAGACCATTTTGAGGTAAAGTGTGATCTTATTTCTTTAAAGCATCGTTTTATTTTTTGAAAAATTACAAAAAGATCATATATAAAAAACTTATTTACAAATAAATTTTATGAATTTTTAAGTAATTACTCAAGTCCCATAGGACTCGGTTATATAAAATTAATTTATCATGTAAAATATACAAATACTCTTAAATTGACTCCTATCCTTTGATGGGCATTGATTGACCACTATCAGTTTTTAATTTTGCAAATTTACAGGTTAAAATATTAATATTATAAAAGATTGACGTGTAAATATAAAAAGTTTTATTTATAAATGTTGAATATTTACTTGATGTTTGGCTTGTAAACTTTGAATTTTTAATATTTTAGTAAAAATATTTTTGAGTGGTCAATAACCACTGGCCACCAATCAATGATAACCAATGGTCAATTAGCGTTAATCAAAAGAATGGGAGTTTAAAGACATTTGTGTCATTTTACTTGATAAATTAATTAGAATCAAATCTGGGACTTGGGTGTATTTTCAAAATTTATAAAATTTATTTATAAATAAGTTTCCTATATCAGACTTGTTTGTAATTTTCCTTTTGTTAAATTTCAAATGCTAATCTTATTTATGAGGTCTTTTTGGCAAAATTAAAAAGTGGTTCTAATTATAATGTGTCAAATAAAAATATGGAATAATCTTTCAATTTTATCTTTTAACTTGAAAAAATATTTTCACAAATAAAAATGTTATTCATGATCTTCCTTTAACTAATAAGAACATAATTGGAAATTTGAGATATTTTCTCACAAATAAAGTAACATGCTTTCTTGATCCAGTCCTTATTACAAGGAAAGATTTTAAAGTTTTATTTGATATTAAATGCAGGATAAAGATGTAGTAATTAATTTTTTTTCAATATTGTTCCTCCTTAATTGCACAAAGTTGTAATTTCAAGATAAATTTTATTATGGTCATTAATTTTAATGAGGAGTAAAATTAAAAAGTTATATTTTTACAAGTTTAAGAATATTAATTATCATTCTTTAAGAATTGTGAGTTTGGTTAATTTTGTCTTATAATTAGGGTTGATGAGAGAAATAACTTTTCTTAAAATACATTAAAAAAATTCAAATTAAACGCCTTATAAATTAGATTGGGAGAGTATCAAATTTGGATTGGGCTTTACGCTTGTTTAGGACTAACGAGGCATGCTTACTTAACATCAGTTAATTACTGGGTTGAGTCTAATTGTTATAGAACATGAAATTGATATTTTCCTGAAAGGTACTTTTAAATAAGCACTCCTAATTTTTTTTCACTACCACTGTGTACCCTAAATGGAATTTATTCATTAAATTTCAAAAAATAAAGAATAAAAAAAGATTAAAAGAGATATACTTCTCCAGACCACAATATATGTCATTGTTAATTAATTTACAGTTTATCAAAATTGTTAGTTAAAACCCTGATTTTTTAAAAATATTCACATCCTTTCATTTATGTTCCTTCAAGAGTCCTTGTAGCACATGCGACGTCTTTAAATAAGGAAAATTTAAAGACATGAATAAATAAAAAACAAGGGCATAAATGAAAAGAAAATATAAAATAAACTCAATGTTTATATTTTGGATTAAGGAATGCTTCTAGAAAGTAACTTACACTGTGTTCTAAAGGGAGCGAGTCGTCACATCATCTCATGTTGGTGCATCAGACTATGTTTTCTCCATTTTTTTTTCTTTTAGTTTATGTGCAGGTTCTTTAAATTTATGGGAAATTGGCTTCACTCGTATTCCCATGCACTTTCTTTGCTTCCAAATAGTTGAATTTCTTCAGGTCCAGAAATAAATCTAATTGCACGTTATTTTGAGGTAAAGTGATCGTATTTGCTTATAGCCTTTATTAAATTATGAATTTTGATCTATGGTTATATATGGCTTTTAATTTTGAACTATTTTTTATTGGGGAGGTTAGTTATAAAAACTATGATAAAAACAAATTGAAATTAATTCTTATCATCCAAAATTACTACTAAATTTTACGAGAATTGCTATTCCTATTATATTTTAAAAGTTAGTAGTATTTTTTTAAGAAAAATAATAACTGATTTTTCTTGAAAAGCAAGCAAGCTTTACAATTTTAAGCGGCATTATAATACATAAATACACACACACACACACATATAATGTATAATACTTTAAAGTTCTAAAATATTATTACTATCTTAAAGAAATGGCAATAATAACCGTAATAATGAGAATTTAAATTCAATAAGAGGTCTAAGTACTTCTACTCAGTGAACGTGGAACATTCCACCAGCCATTAAAAGACTCGTTCCTACCATACCTTCCCTCCCTCTCTACCCTGTCACTCAAATACATGAAAATGTTGAGATGATATATATATACCATGAGATCTAATATTTCAGGAACTAAAGGTTATTCAAAATACACATGCAAACCATGGTCGAGAATTAATGTACTTTCATAAATCTCTTAGTCCAAAATTCTCTTTTCATCAATGAATTGATCATAAAACAACACCAGGTTTTAAGGGTATACAAGCATGCTAACCAGGTTTTAAAAATTAAATCAGCATCAAATTCAATTCCACCTTTCAACACAAGCCCTCAATGGACAACAACTGCATGTCTAAAAAAAAAAAGAATTAAATGAACATCAAATTAATAAAAACATAAAGAACGGCCTCAACAAAGTTATTTAATTACTACTCAACGCATGATTTTTAAACGTATGAAAGATAAATCAAAGTTACCTCACTCCTTAGCTGAACAAATATCAAAAACCTTGAATGCTCCATGTGCTAGCCACCTTTCACAAATAGTGTGAATCTACATTCCCTCCATTAAAAAATGTCGTACATTTTTTAAAGGGTTGAATATTATAAAATGTAAGGTTTTTTTAATTTTTTAATGTGTAATTTTTATTTTTTTAAAGTGATTCTATTGAATAAATTATTTTATATTTATTTTACTGTAAAACATTATGTTAAATAAAGAATTTTAAAAATAAGTAACTACTTTATTAAAAATAAAATTTAATTAAAAATATTTTATATTTTTAAACAGAACAAATATAATCATGACAATTTTCGGCAATTAAATGTTAAAGGAGTCTATTCAAGCTAACTTCAGAAATTCACCTTTCCAAAGCTCACCTCTAGGATTAATTCGCTCTTCCCAAAACCAAATTCCACCAATTTCTAATCTAACAAGTCAGTAGTGGAATCAGGACCCTAGGGATTATTTTCTTTTAAAAAATTAATAGTTTTAAAAATAATTTAATTATTAAAAGATAAATTATATAGATTTATTATATTACTGGATTTTGAGGTAAAAATTTGAAAAATTTGGACTCAAGTTTAGAAAAGGAATCAAATCGATTTAACGTTGAAAATATTAAAGTGCAAAATTTAAAATTTCATACACATTGTATATAATTTTCCTAAGTGAGCGGAGCATGTGCCCACTCTATGGTTCGGTCACTACAACTTATTCGAATCACAAATTACCCATCACATCACCTAATTTTTCTAGTTACAGTTTTGACACCCAACATACCCATATGTGAACTCAAAACTCCAAATCAATCCTACATGGAACTTCAACTTAAACTTTAAACAAATGTAACTATTCAATCAAAACACATTTCAATCGGAAATATCATAATCCTGCACAACTCCCAAACTTCATTTAGGGTTTCACTACAATCCTCAATGAAGTACCACAACCCAATACGTTAGAACACTAAATTAAAACAAAGGTTAAGGGTTATTTTTGTTCCTGAACTGTACATGAAAGATTATAAATGTTTCTAAATTCAACTATGTTTATTTTTTTCTTAACTTTAAAGATTCTTTTCCTCATCATTGTGATTTTCTGACCGTTAGTTAACTGTTGGTGGGCCTCATATTATATTTTTAATATTTTATTATAAAATATTTGAGTTGAGGGGAAAAAAGACTCTTAACTTGATAAAAAATATTTCAAAAATAGTGGGACCCATTGATAAAATGGTTAATGAATGTTAAGTGTTTTTAACGTCAGGTTGATGATAGAAGAAATTTTTAAAGTTGAAAAATAAGATTGACCTATAATTGAGTTTAAAGTCATTTGTGATTCTTCGTGTACAATTAAGGGACAACAATGATTCTTAACCCTTAAAATAACTCCTAACAATTTATTTAAACTCATTTCAATCAATAAAAAAACTTAAATATATCTTATGACTTTTTAGAAAAATTTAGTAGTTACACATCAGAATTTAAATCACTTAGACAAAGCTGATTATGAAATTTTAGCTTCTAAAAGGAAATATTGGAAAAGAAAAGAAGGGAAAAAATGATTAGCAAAATATTATTTTATTAGAGGGTGAATTAATGGAAAAATCTCCTTTCATCCTCTATAACTTTATATAATATGTTTTAATTTAATTTTTTAATTTTATAAAGTATCTTTTTAATTTTATAACCTTAGTACTATTAGTCTCAAAGGATGATTTTTTATGTCAATTATTGTTATTTTAAAAAAATTCAGCTTAATATTTAAATATTTGAAAATATTTTATGAATATTTAAAATTTTAATTTCAAAAATAAAACTAATGGTATTAGGATTACAAGACAAAAATATTTTTTTAAAAATTAAAATACTAAAATGAAATTTTATGTATATGAAATTAAAAGACAAAGTAACACATTTGTCCCACGAAAAAGATAAATAATATTATGAAAGAAAGATAAAGAAATAATTAGCTAGTTATAATTATAACACAAGGTATTTGCTTTTTTACCCACTTTTTTATACACTTTCACTTTTTTTTATACACGTAATTTCTTTTTTCTTACATTTGCGCCCTCTCTTCTATCTAGCTTGCTGGCTCTGATTGGTTTGTACGTGTGTGATTTCTTCATTCTCCAAATTAAAAAACCATCAAAGGCATGACGACATGATTCTGTAGATCGAATAAAGGTTGGTATAAGTTTTGACAATGTTTGTTTTTTATTGGGCATATATGCATCACTATTCACTATTTGTCATCACGTGCTATGTCTTTCAAAACGTGTGTACAACAATATTAACCAAAAAAAAAAATTGTTATGAATTAAAATTCGGACAATTTCACTACTGATCTTGGACCAAGGATAACATACAAAAAAAAAAAAAGAACCCTTAAATTCTTAAAATTTTATTACAAATTTAGGATACTGAATTTAATTTTAAATTATCTGAAAAATAATAAGATTGTTCCTATTAAAATTCTCTTTCACGACTTGTTTATATCCTTATTGTATGTTGTTTAATACTCTTTAAATAATAGTTCATTGCCTTATTTCATTTGTTCATTATAATACTTTCACTTAAATTAATTTCAACTGTTGTTTTCATATTAATATAATATACTTGTTCGTGTCCCTATTATATATGATTCATTACCCTTCAGACTGTTTTACAACACTTATTTGAATTGATTCCAAGTGTTGCTTTCATGTTAAAAAGATTTGTTTGTGTTCCTATTGTATGTTGTTCATTACCTTTCAAACTATTGTTGATTGCATATTTTATTTGTTTATAACCTTACATATTTCTAGTTTGTTTTTTTGTTAAATTTCTTTCTCTTCTAATGGGGACAATTTTGTCATTTTTCAAAAAAAACTTATTTCAATTCAGTACCTTGAGCTTATAGTATAGTTTCAGAAATTCAAAGATTCTTTTCTTATTATCTCTCTGATTCAGAGGTCTTCACTGAAATTTTTCCATTAAAATTGGCATGAGTGACATATTCTTGGAAAAGATTTACACATTTTTCTAAGAATTTCGGGGGAGATGACCTCTGTTCGACGGAATTTGCTGCTTATAATTATGATTAAAATTTAATAAAAAAAACTTTTTATTTTCCTGTTGAAGTTTGTAATATTAATTATATAAAATTTAATTTGCTACTGCTGTTATAAAACCAAACTTGAAATTTGAATAACCTAACATATTAACAACTAATTTATGAATCGTACACATTTTAATTTTAATTCTAAATTATTAGAATTACGTAACATGTAGCATACCAGCACTTCTCTCTTCACATTTGGATACTATGTGTGCTAATATTATATTACGTCGGGGTGTATTTATAAGAAACAACTTATGGTTAAAATAAAATAATTAGATCAGAAGGAATATTCTTCTCTTTGGGTAAACTAATAGAATAATTTATTATATATTTAATTTTTGATTTTATGAAATCTTTGTGTATCATCATTCATAAAAATAATTTATTATTTATTTTTAAACTTTATGGTATCTTTTGGTATTTCTATATTTTTAAAAAAGTTTCACTCATCCACCCACATCTAATTATTTTTAAGATAGCTTCTCAAAATAAACCTAAATGGTTTTTTTCAGCTTCTGATTAATTTAAAAAATTTAACCAACATGCTGAAATTTTTCAAATTTTTCATACTAAGTTTTCTCCATTTTTTTCTTTTAGTTTATGTGCAGGTTCTTTAAATTTATGGGAAATTGGCTTCACTCGTATTCCCATGCACTTTCTTTGCTTCCAAATAGTTGAATTTCTTCAGGTCCAGAAATAAATCTAATTGCACGTTATTTTGAGGTAAAGTGATCGTATTTGCTTATAGCCTTTATTAAATTATGAATTTTGATCTATGGTTATATATGGCTTTTAATTTTGAACTATTTTTTATTGGGGAGGTTAGTTATAAAAACTATGATAAAAACAAATTGAAATTAATTCTTATCATCCAAAATTACTACTAAATTTTACGAGAATTGCTATTCCTATTATATTTTAAAAGTTAGTAGTATTTTTTTAAGAAAAATAATAACTGATTTTTCTTGAAAAGCAAGCAAGCTTTACAATTTTAAGCGGCATTATAATACTTACATACATACATATATATTATATATATCTATATGAAATGTATAATACTTTAAAGTTCTAAAGTATTATTACTATCTTAAAGAAATAGCAATAGTAGCCGTAATAATGAGAATTTAAATTCAATAAGAGGTCTAAGTACTCTTAGTGAACATCAAAAACCTTGAATGCTCTCATGTGCTAGTCACCTTTCACAAATAAGGTAAATTTATACTCCCTCCATTAAAAAATATAAAACATTTTTTAAAGAGTTAGATGTTAAAAAATGTAAGGGGTTTTTATTTTTTTCAATTTGTAGTCATTTTCTTTTTTTGCAAAAATACTTCTATTAAATAAATTATTTTATATTTATTTTATTGTAAAATATTTTATTAAATAGGGGTAAATATAAAAATATAGAGTTAGTTTAAATAAAAATAACTACTTTATTGAGGGTGAGATTTAATTAAAAATATTTTATATTTTAAACAGAGAAAGTATAATTTATGACAATTTTCTTCAATTAAATGTTAAAGGAGTCTATTTAAGCTAGCTTTAGAAATTCAACTTTTCCAAGCTCACTTCTAGGATTAATTTACTCTATCCAAAACCAAATTCCCCCAATTTCTAATCTAACAAGTCAGTAGTGGAATCAGGACCCTAAGTTATGGGCATAATTTTCGTTTAAAAAATTAATAGTTTTAAAAATAATTTAATAATTAAAAAATAAATTATATAGATTTATTATATTACTGCATTTTGAGGTAAAAATTTGAAAAATTTGGACTCAAGTTTAGAAAAAGAATCAATTGAAAATATTAAAGTGCAAAATTTACAATTTCATGCACATTATATATAATTTTCCTAAGTGACCGGAGCATGTGCCCACCCCATGGTTCGGTCACTACAACTTATTCGAATCACAAATTACCCATCACATCACCTAGTTTTTCAAGTTACAGTTTGGCACCCAACATACCCATATGTGAACTCTAATATGTAACTCCAAATCAATCCTACATAGAACCTTAACATAACTTTAAGCAAACGTAACTATTCCATCAAAACACATTTCAATCACTACTGGAATGGAAATATCATAGTCCTGCATCAAATCTAGGGTTTCACTACAATCCTCAGTAAAGTGTCACAACCCAATATGTTAGAACACTAAATCAAAACAAGGATTAAGGATCAGTGTTGTTCTTGAACTACACATGAAAGATTACAAATACCTTTAAACTTAACTATAGATCAATTTTAATCTTAACTTTAAAGATTCTCTTCCTCATCATCCTGCCATTTTCTCACCGATAGTTAACCATTGGTGAGCCCCACATTTTATGTTTTTAATATTGTCTTATAAAATATTTGAGTTGAGGGCAAAAATAATCTTTCGAATAGAAGTTGAAGGCAAAAATGACCCTTAACTTAGATAAAAAATATTTAAAAAATGGTGGGACCCACTAATAACATGACTAATGGATGTTAAGTGTTTTTAAAATTTGGGTGATGAGGGAGGAATAAGATTAACACATAGTTGAGTTTAGAGCCATTTGTGACCTTTCGTGTACAGTTAAGGGATAAAATGACTTATAACTCTTAACAATTCATTTAAACTCATTTCAATCAATGAAAAAAAATTTAAATATATCTTATGACTTTCTTAGAAAAGTTTAGTATTTACACATTAGAAATTAAATCACTTAGACAAAGCTGATTATGAAATTTTAGCTTCTAAAAGGAAATAATGGAAAAGAAAAGAGGAAAAAAATGATTAGGAAAATATTATTTTATTAGAGGGTGAACTAATAGAAAAATCACCTTTCATCCTCTATAACTTTATATAATATGTTCTAATTTGATTTCTTAATTTTATAAAATATTCTTTTAGTTTTATAACTTTAGTACTTTTAGTTTCAAAAGATGATTTTTCATGTCAATTATTGTTATTTTAAAAAAACTCAACTTAATATTTGAATTTTTGAAAATATTTTATCAATATTTAAAATTTTAATTTCAAAAATAAAACTATTGGTATTCGGATTACAGGACAATTTTTTTTTAAAAAATTAAAATATTAAAATAAAATTTTATGTATATGAAATTAAAAGACAAAGTAACACATTTGTCCCACGAAAAAGATGAAGAATGTTATGAAAGAAAGATAAAGAAATAATTAGCTAGTTCTAATTATAACACAAGGAATTTGCTTCCCCCCCCCCCCCCAATACACTTTCACTTTTTTTTTATACACGTAATTTCCTTTTTCTTACATATGTGCCGTGTCTTCTTTCTAGCTTGCTGGCTTTGATTGGTTTGTACGTGTGTGAATTCTTCGTTCTCCAAATTAAAAAAACTATCAAAGGCATCACGACATGATTCAATAGACCGAATAAAGGTTGGTATAAGTTTTGATAATGTTTGTTTTTTATTGGGCATATATACATCACTATTCACTACTTGTCATCGGGTGCTATGTCTTTCAAAACGTATGTACGCCAATATGAACCAAAAAACTTCTTGTGAATTAAAATTGGGACAATTTTACTATTGACCTTGGACCGAGGATAACCAAAAAAGAACCCTTAAATTCTTAAAATTTTATTACAAATTTAAGTTACTGAATTGAAAATAAAATTATCTGAAAAATGATAAGAATGTCTCTATTAAAATTCTCTTTCACAACTTGTTTTTATCTCTATTGTAAGTTGTTTAATACTCTTCAAATGATAATTCATTTTCCTATCTCATTTGTTTATTATTATACTTTCACTTAAATTAATTTCAAGTATTATTTTCATGTTAATATGACTTGTTCGTGTCTTTGCTACATGTGATTCATTACCCTTCATATTATTATTTATTACCCTACTTCACAACATTTTTATTTGAATTGATTCCAAGTATTGCTTTCATGTTAGGAAGACTTGTTTGTGTCCCTATTGTATGTTGTTCATTACCTTTCAGACCATTGTTGTTTGCCTACTTTATTTGTTTATAACTTTTCATATTTATAATTTGTTTTTTTTTCTTGTTAAATATCTCTCTCTTCCAATAGGGACAATCTTGTCATTTTTCAGAAAATTTTTATTTCAATTCAGTACCTTAAACTTGTAGTATAGTTTCATAAATTCAAAGATTCTTTTTCTTATTATCTCTGATCCATAGATGTTTAGTGAAATTTTTCCATTAAAATTGGCATGAGTGACATATATTATTGGAAAAGATTTACACATTTTTCTAAGAATTTTTGGGGAGATGTACTCTGGACAGAATTTACTGCTTATACTTATGATTAAAATTTAATATAAAAAAACTTGTTATTTTGATGTTGAAGGTTGTAATATTAGTTATATAAAATTTAATTTGCTACTGGTGCTATAAAACCAAACTTGAAATTTGAATCATCTAACATATTAACAACTAATTTATGAATCGTACACATTTTAATTTTAATTTTAAATTATTAGAATTACGTGTCATGTATGCATACCACCACATCTCTCTTCACATTTGGATACTGTGTGTACTAATATTATATTACTTCTGGGTGTATTTATAAGGAACAACTTTATGGTTAAAATCAAATAAATAGATCAGAAGGAATATTCTTCTATTTGGTTACCCTTTTTTTTTTTAAAAAAAAATTGTTTTGGATTTGCCGTTGTTTGGGCTTAAAAAATAAATAAGTTTTTTATTATTTTAGTTGATTTGTGGAAACTGGAAAGTATTTTTGTGTGTAGAGATTTAAAAAAAAAACAGAAATTTGCATTTGGCTAAAATAATAAAAATAATTTATTATATATTTAATTTTTGATTTTATGAAATCTTTGATTCATAAAAATTAATTTATTATGTGTTTTTAAATTTTATGATATTTTTTGGTATCTCTATATTCTCAAAAAAGTTTCACTCATCCACCCACATCTAATTATTTTTAAGATAGCTTCTCAAAATAAACATAAATGTATTTTTTTCAGCTTCTGACTAATTTAAAAAATCTAAGCAACATGATGAAAATTTTCGAAAATGAGTGATTTTTCAATTAAAAAAAACTTAAACAAATGCGTTCTAATTCCCATATGTGTAGTCAGTTATTTTTCATCTGTTTTGTATTTAGGGCTCATTTATTGCAATCAGTCAAACATATATACTTAGAAAGTTGATAAATGATTTGCTTTAGTTGGTTCGTGTTTGAATCATTCATTTTAGTTTTTTTTGGTTGATTTTTGGAAGAATGACAAATCAAGCCCTCCAAAATAGGAAAATAAAAATTTAATCTCACAAAATGTGATAATGCCCTAAAAGGCCTAATTGTCATTAAATTTTTTTGATAAAAAGATAACAATATCTCTTAATTTAAAAAAGTAAAGAAAAATGGTGACAAAAAGTTGTGAAACTCTAAACCATTTCAGTCATTTTATGAACAAATTATTTGTTATTAAATTCTTTTAATATTTGTTATTCAATTCTTTTTTCTTCTTCCTTTCTTCTTTCCCAATTACGTTGACCTTGAATCTATGTTCCAAATATTATCTAAGCAATTAAACAAACCAAGAATAGTTAGAGAACAATCTCACAAACCTAAAACATAGCAACAGATTAAACAAACAAAGAATAATCTCACAAACCCAAAACATAGCTACATATCAAACAAACCAAGAATCTCACAAACCCAAAACCCAATTCTCATCAATGTATCCAAAAACCTACAAACTAGAAATCAAACAAGAACATCAATCTCTCCATAAACCTTAGAGAAATAGTTCCTCCTAATAAGATTTTGAACCTCAAAATTTTGAAAATGCTTTAAAACAATCCCAGAATGGGAAGAATTATCTTCCTACCTATGCCCCTCAATTTCCCATCCTTCAATCTTCAAAACCTCACTCTTCTCATTGATTTCTCTCCTATTCGATCCCTCTACCATCAAGTTGATAGCAAGATTGACTCTTGTTCCTCCTCTTACTTCTTCACCGTGTCCTGCCCAACCCAGAAGGGGGTGAATGGGTGATCTGGGCAAGTGAAGGGGAGAAGAAGGTCAAGCAAACTCAATTCATTAGATTCACAAGCCCAAAACCCAATCCTCATCAAATTCATTCAAGAAAACCAAAAACTAGAAACCAGACTAAGGGCGAGCGAGAGAAAGGTTTGGGAATATTAGATCTAGTGGAAGCGATCCAGCATCGAGAGTGGGAGAAGGAATAAAGGGTGGTAGTGTTTATTTACCTTTGGGTTCGGATGTCGAGAAGAGGAGGGTCACCTATTTCTACAAACCTACCGTGGGTGATTACTGTTATGGCCACTATCCGATTTGTTTGATTAAATCTTCTATGAGAGAGAGGAATCTGATCTGTTTGACTAAAGCTTCTCCTCTTCGATGGAATGCCTCCTTAGGCTTCATTGTTGAACCATGACAGAGGTGAGAAGCTCGATGGAGATTTTCGATCTTCCGCCTCGATAGTTTATGGGGGTCTTGGTTGTTATCAACAGATCTAAAAAAATTTGGGGCCATTGTCAATGATGAAGTAAGAGGAAGAAACTGTTTGACTTCAATGGAGGAGGAAGGTGAGGAAGAAGAGGAGTGAAAGGGAGAAGAATGAAGAAGCATAGGGGAGAAGAACATCAGCTGGCCATATGGCTCAATCCAATTCTAGAAGAAGGATGAAGGAAAACATTGTCCTCCTAGGCGTTTCAATTTTTATTTTTTCTAATTTTTAAAATAGCCACATCAGATGTGGCAAAATATGCTGGTGAAACAACAAAGATTAACGGTCAATGTGGACCTTTTGTCATGACAAGTAAAAATTGTCCATTTTTTAAAAATGTTGGGATAACATTGTGCTATTTAAAATGGTAGGATATCAATTGTTCTTTTTTGAAAATGTTTGTGACTGATTTGTAATTTAGTCCAATAAAATAGTAGATAAGTGAAAAAAATTGGAAAATTAACTTTTAAAAAAATATAGTTTATCATCTATAAAAAATAAAATAAAATAAATATATAAATATGTTTTAGATGGAATGGGATGTCTCAATGCTCCACTTGTGTCCTATCCTATCCAAACATCATTTCTGCCCCTATCCCATTATGTTCGAGATGGGAACGACCTATGCCAACATAATAGGGATGAAGATGCATGGGCCAATTGGAAGGAGGATTCCGTGAACAACTCTAGTTCTAATTGGGCAGTTGCTTTGTTTTTTAACGTTTTATTTTTTTTGCTTAATATCGCAAAATTTGTCATACAATGTGTTTTTACACCTTTCTTGTTTATGACCTGTGCCAAATTTGATCAATATAGGCTTGTATGTGATATGTCAATGATTAAATTTTAATGTTTTTATCCTTTTCAATTTAAACTTTTTTTAGAATAATTTAATAATTATAAAATTAAAATTATATTGTATCATTCTTCATTTAAAATGAAAAATTTAATATTATTTTGGTCGTGTTTCTTTTTGATTTTTCAACAAATCCATTGCTTCATAGGTTTGTATAGATATATCCATTGCTTTATTAAAATAAGCAAATTTAGTATTTGGCAATGTGTAAGCAGCTATGTAAACAATAAACTAATAAAATATGTACATTTATCATTACTTTTAAATTGAATTAAATAAGGAAATAAAGTTAACGAAATGAAATATAATATATAATTAGCATTATGTATTATAGAAGGAAGTAACATTAAAAACCATATATATAGTTAATTTTAAAAATGAAGTCACATATATAGAAAATACTAAGCATATAAAACAAAAATTCATTACTTATTTTATTTATTCATCATAAAATTATAATAATAAAATACATTTAGTATCTCAATATTAGATATTGGGATAAAACAAGAAAGGGAAAAAAAGAATTATGCAACGCGAATATAGTAAAATTTTAATTGAAGTGAATTTTTTATATGCGCATTATTAAATATTGAAATTTTGATTAGGAAACATTAGTATAAATAAAAAATTGCAGATACGATGGAGCACTCCAGCTGCCTTTAGAAAAGGAAACTTTTTTTTTTGGGTACTTTTCTTACTGGAATGATGTAAATGTACTCTTAATGGTAGTATTCTCTTGTCCATATTACTTATAAATCTATAAATAAAAATGCAAAATAATAGAGTGCTCCAGTCATCTTTAAAAAAAATTGTTTTACTTTTAATACTAGAATGAGTCTTAATTAATGGTAGTATTCTTTATTAGATGACAACCATTGGAGAAAGTGTTTTAACAAATCTTGTCCAAAGATTTGTGGATGCAACACTTGAGGAAGCTAACTACTTATGTTGCTTCAAGACTCATGTTGAGAGCTTTGAGAAGAAAAAGAAACAATTGGAAGCAAAACGAAACACAATGCTAGAGTAGAGGAGATTGAAGATGTTAGAAAAAGAAATGAGAATAAAGATGTTGCTGAAGTTCAGCAATGGATAGATGATGCTAATGATGTCATTCAAATAGACACAAAAAAAAGAAGAAATGGTTTTGTGGTTGGTGTCCTAATTGCATTTGGCAATATCAACAAGGGAAGATGTTGGCAAACAAGATGAATGATGCCACAAATCTCATTGAAAGTTGTAAATTTGATAAAGTGGCACGTCCAGCTGATCATCTAGGCATATGCTCTATTATTTCAACAAATTTTATGGATTTTGAAAGTAGAAAGTCAAAATCCAAAGAATTGGTTAAAGCATTGGAGAATGGAAATTATTACATAATCGGATTGCAGGGCTTAGGGGGCACAGGTAAAACTACACTTGTTACACAAGCAGGAAAACAAGTTGAAGAATCTAAAGCATTTCACAAAGTCATCTTCACAGTTGTGTCTAATCCTCCAAATATCAAGAAGATTCAACAAAACATTGCAATGCAATTAGATTTGCCATTAGAGGAAGGAAAGGAAGAAAAACACTCAGAGGACTTATGGAAGAGGATTGTTAATATTAAAGGGAAGATACTTATAATACTAGATGACGTTTGGGAAAAGCTAGATCTTAGAGGCATAGGGATTCCCAATGGTCTTGATCAGAAGAATTGTTGTGTTTTGATAACCACACGTGATACCAAAGTTTGTGAAGTAATGAGATGCCATTTAATAATTGCACTACAAACTTTAAATGAAGTGGATGCATTGAATCTTTTCAAAGAAAATGCTGGATTAGAAAGTGATAATTCTTCCAAATTGGGTGTGGCAAGAGAAATTGTGAAGGAGTGTGGAGGACTACCACTTGCAATTGTGACAGTAGCAACAACATTGAAAGGTTGGAATCTACGAGATTGGAAGAATGCTTTGAAAACCTTGCAAAACTCTGGACCATTGCAAAATATTCATCAAGACTTGGTAAAGGTTTATAGAAGCATGGAGTTAAGCTATAACTATCTTGGGGTTGAAGCCCAAAAACTCCTCTTGTTATGCTCTCTCTTTCCAGAGGATTATGAAATTCCTATATCCCTTTTGAGCAAACTTGGTGTAGGATTGGGCCTTTTTGGGGAAGCTGACAACTACTCTTCAGCAAGAAGAAAAGTGATTCCTGTAAAAAATGACCTTATTAAATCTTCATTGTTATTGGAGCCTAAGGAAAGTTGTGTGAAGACGCATGACTTAGTTCGTGAAGTGGCCTTATGAATAGCAGACAGTGAGGTGCAAGTGATCATAAATCTAAGGACGAAATTAAAGCCAAACTTGAAATTTTTGTTTTGGAGTAATAATGACTTTCCCAATTGTTTTGATGGTGCAAACCTTGAGATTTTGATACTTTGGATAAAAGGAGAAGTTAAGGTGAAAGATTCATCTGCAATATTTGGTGAGATGGACAAACTTAGAATTTTGTATATGCTTTATGACGAAACTAAGGTATATTTCAATCTATCAATACAATTGCTTCTTTCATTAAAGAATATTCGAACTCTCATCCTTGTTGGTTGGAAACTAGGTGACATCTCTATTTTGAAAAATTTGCAAAGCCTTGAGACTCTTGAGCTGGAAAATTGTTTAATATTTGAATTACCAAAAAAAATTAGGGAAATAAAGAAGTTAAGATTGTTGGGTTTAAGAAAATGTAAAATTAAAAATAACAATCCTTTTGAAGTGATTGGAAGATGCTCACAATTGGAAGAATTGTATTTTGTTGAGAATTATAATGTCAAAGATTGGAAGCGGGGAGATGACAAAGAAATTGTTGGTGAAATTGCTTGGCAAATGTATTCTATTGCTTCGCCTGGTTTTAAATGTTTTGCTGATGATGATAATGGCATGTCAAATTGCTTTAAACCAGAACTCATTAAGAATTTAATATCAAAAGCCATGTTAAAGTACTTAGTAGGAAGAGCAGAAGTTCTTGAGTTGGGAAACATTGGGCAAACAGGATGGAAATGTCTAGTCCCTGACATTATTCCTATGAAAGTTGAACTCGTGAATAATTTGACTAAGCTTTATTTGTATGAATGGGCTGACATTGAGTGCCTTATTGATGTTAGTAAGAATCATTCTTATTCTAACGTGCTTGTCTTTTCTGACTTGGTTGAGTTGCATCTAGATGGTGTGGATGTAAAAGAATTATATCAGGGTGATGTGTCTTCTAGCTTTTTCAGCCAGTTGCAGATTTTAAAGTTAAAGAAGTGTAAGAAACTAGACAATATATTCTTAGATGAAAGTCTCAAACTACCTCATTTGAAGGTCTTGGGATTGCAAGACTGCCCAAAGTTCCAACCATCAATTTTCCGACACTCTATTGCTCAAAGTCTAATGGAATTGGAAGAATTACACATTAATAGTTGTGGGGAGCTGCAAAGTTTAATTGCATATAGTAGTTTTGGAGAAGAAATAGTTGATGTTGATAATGAAAAGAGTTATGGATTACTGTTTCCAAAGTTAAAATCTCTTAAAATTCAAGGATGTGACAAATTAAAAATGGTGTCGTCATTCCTACCTGGAGACCTTCCCAAGTTGGAAGATTTAGATGTATGGGATTGTAAGAATCTAAAATACATAATTGGTGAATATAGAGATATGGATCAAGTTTCACTACAAGAAACTATGCTCCCTTCACTAATAACAGTGAGTCTTGGTCGATTACCGAGTTTCCTTAGCATATTTGAAAAATGCAATAAATGTATGCCAAGGCCACTTGAAGTTTTGAAAGAAGATTCGAAGAATAAAGATGAAAGCTCAGGTAAAAGAAGTGCGTTCTCATGGGTTCATGGGTGTTGTTTTGGGGCTCCAATTAAAGATACTAATATTGTAGTTTATGATGCCACGCTAAAACCCAGCACAATCTCACAGGTATGCTACTCTGGTTTTGTTCTCTTTGTTCAACATATATGTTTATGCTTTGTAATTTTAATTTTTTTTTGGCAAAAGCGATATTTGATTAATTAAACTTCCATTTTAGACTATGCTACTTGAATGGTATATTTTTCTCTTTTAAGGGATGTAGATCTAGAGGGGAGATGTAATGATAGAATTATTCTTGATTGATTGATTGATTCTATTGAAATGAATTAATATTTTTAAAGTTACAAAGAAGTTTTAGAGGGTTTTAGAGAAATGGGGAGATGAGAATGATAGGTCACATTTGTTTTTATTTATAGTCGCTTTTTTTATTGTCAGATTTGTGTAGCGACTAGTTAAGCAAAATGCTAGAAATGAGTTAGTTAAAACTTTATTGCCCTTGTTAAATAAACTACTACCATAGTTTAGAAGGAAATAGTTTCATTTGTTAGTTGAAATAAAACTTTTGGAATACATTTTGTTTAGGAATTTTTTTTCCTCAATTTCATCAAAAACACGGACTAGCTAATTAACAGTTAAAATAAATATTGATTCTTTAACACTTGGATGAACGATGTTAAGTGATGGTTGAATAAGTGATTTGTGAAATTCCTTCATCTTTTCGATGGCAAAATAAATAAATAAATAAATAAAAGTAAAGGTGCATTTTTTTTTTCTGAAGTACTCTCTAATGAGTACTCAGTAAACTATTGGTTAGAGCGATTTTGTCCTTAAAGTAATTGAAATAAAGCATTTTTGCTTTTAACATCAAATTTCCAACATTGATCATTTGAAATGTTTACTAGGATTCTGATGTTGACTGTTAGTGAATTGAATAAAAAGGAAAAAAAATACTATATTTTAATTACTTTTAGAGCAAAATTACTTTAATCAATATTTTAAGGTGCTAGATGTTGAGAGTACTTTAAGAAAAAAAATATACATTTACCTTGAGAATAATTCTGCTGTGCTATTCCTAAGGTGGATATTCATTTTATTTGAAATTATTACTAAAATCAAAATAATAATTTGTGCAGTTCTCATCGGAAAAGTTGATATCAATATCATTCATTGTCTGTCTTTGGTGTTGGTATTAAATTTTTAGCTTGGTCAACTAGCACAAATCGTTGGTGAAAACTACACGAATTACACGAGACTAATGTATTATGGAGTCGCAGATCCATAATCATAAGAGAAGGGGCAAACTTTTTTTTAATCAATAATAAAGATATTTAAAGAAATTATTTTAGTTCTTTATTTATAATACTCATTATTGAGAATTTTAAAAAATTATTCAATAATAATATACTTTTATTTAATTTAATCAAGATATGTGGACTTAATGTATTATTAATATTAATAACAAGAATTTGTTATTGAATAATTAATCTATAAAAGTTACACATGTTTTGACTTAATTGAAAATAAGCACTTTAAATATATAAAGTTTTCTTTAAGTGATACATTCTTTAATGTTTATCATGGATTAAGGTCCATTTTCCTAGGAACATGGATTAAGCTCCATGAACTATTTTTCTAGGAACACCTAATGTTTTAAATTCTTTGTTATAGTAATGTCTTCCTTGAAGTTATTAAATTGTATCAATGTTGCCCTTGACATTAAATGGGCAAATGTTGATTCTTAACTTTGCTGACTCAAAAATGAGCTAAGTTCAACTTAATTTATAGCAATGTTGCCTTAAAAGTAATTAAAGTGTAGCAATGTTGCCCTCGTGTTAAGTAATTAAAGTGTAGCAATGTTGCCCTGGTGTTAAGTTTGAGTCAACAAAGTTAACTATTGATGCTTGCCCATTTAAGGTTGGGAGTAACATTGCTATATGATTTAATTATTTTAAGGTCAACATTGTTATAATAAATAATTTAAAATATTGAATGTTCCTATGGAAATAGTTTAGGGGCAAAAATGGATTTTAACTCTTTATTTTTTTATTATAATTTTATGTATCGTTTCTTGTGTATTTACTTTCAATACATTATTGCTTCATAGTAATTTAATTGATATTTAAAATAATTTGTTTTTTAAATTTAGTATTTATGCGTAGATTTTGCCCCACTAAGTAATTTTTTGACTCTACTATCCCTTTATGATAGAAAGGTCTTTAAATATATATGTTTTTGAAAGCCTTTAAATATATTTGTAACCAAGTAAATATTTTAGTTGATACCCTGCATCTCATTTAATTCCGTCTTGAGTTGTTATATTAGTTGATACCTTACAAAAGTTGAACTAAAACATCTCGTTTACATCAAAATCCTTAATTTGATCTGTAATTGGTTCAAAATCTCTATTTTATATTAATTATTTTGAATATTTAAATAAGTTTACTCATATTTAGATGGTGTTATTTTTTAGTTGAAATTGGACATCTATCCAGGAATATATATAATATATATATATATATATTTTTGCCTCTGGGTTTGCTTGTGACTGAAGTAGCATGCTGCAAATAGATAGTGTTGGCATTGGTGGATTTGAATTTAAAATCTCACATTACAAATTTCACCCATTTAAAATTTAAAAATTTCAAATTTAAATATAGTAATAATGGGCGAATCATTAACTTAGATAAGGATTTTAGTTAATAACTGCTTAATTATATTTGACGTTTTTCATTTTTTTATTAGTTGACTACAAGCATGGGTGCAAATGTTTAAGTCCAACGGCTATCTCATTAATTTAACACCTTGTAAATTACATCATAACTGCCCCAATCTTATAAATGAAAATGTATAATACGTTATTCTTGACACATTTATTTTGTATTTCATGTATTTTACGATCCAATATATCTTTTGGTTCATTGATGCTTTTAATCAGATTTTTTTATCCAGATGTAGGACTAAATGATAGAAAGAGGATAATTAGATGAGTGTTGAATATAAGAATCATGCTTTTACCAAGTGATTGGTTGTACAGGAATTCTGTGCATCAAGCAAAAGGACTGAAATGTTTCATACAGAGTGTCTTATGAGACAACCATTGAACCTACAAAATATAAGGCAGATGACACTTTCGAGATGTTCAAAATTAAAGTCATTGTTCAGTGTATCCATTGCCACAACCATCATGTTGGAGCAGTTGTTCATCTATGACTGTAAAGAATTGAAGCACATAATAACAAATGAAGTAGAGGGTGATGGCTATCCCAGCTGCAACTCCAATTTCCCGAAACTACAGTGGCTCACAATCTGGGCGTGCAATAAATTGGAATTTATATTTCCATGCACTTTTTTTGGAGGTCTGCAAAAATTAAAATCCATAAATGTTGACACCGCTCATGAATTGAAATATGTTTTTGGAAAATGCCATGAAGAGTGTCTATCAAATGAGAATGAAAACAAGGAGCTCCACATTGATGTTCTTGCATTGGAAACACTATACCTTCACGATGTACCAAATATGAGGAGCATTTGTATAAACAATTATCAAATGGAATGCACATCTCAACAGATTATGGAAGCACCAAAGGTAATAACACTTTTTAACTTGTTATATTTTAGCATGTCAATCTTGTTCTATTTTCTGTTGTGAAAATATATTATATTATTCTATTTATTCTCTCTTACAATTTCAATTTTTGAATTTTTATAGATAATTAATTTGAGTTAAGCGCATTGCACTCTATGACAAAACATTCAATATCATAATTTTTTTATAGATAATATAAGAATATATTTTTCTAGGCAAAAAATCATCTGTCAAGTCAAACTCCTTAGCTTACACTAGCTATTGATAAGTTAATTTGGATATTTGTAAATGTGCCTTTTTTTTTATTGGTTAAAATATAAACATATGAGGACAAGATTTTCCTATATATGCACGTGTATAAATTTATGTCAAAATAATTATTTTTAATTTAAATTGATTTAAATTTTTATAATTATTTGACTATGATATAACCCACGGGTTCTCTATAATTATTAGCTCCTGCCAGCACATGCAATATCTTCATGAAATTTTTTTGATAGATAATATATGTAAGAATATACCATTCATGATAAAACATCAGATGTGAGTCAATCTCTACACCAGATATTGAAAAGTTAGTTTTTGAATATTTTTATATCATTAGATAATTTTAATAATATTAATACTATTTGGATATTTATAAACGAATTGGGTATATTTATCTTGGTTTTTTTTTAAACGGTCGTTAACAAACTCTTAAACTTTTTCAAAACAACAAATTTATGTTAAAGTGATCTAGCTTTATATTTACATAGATTTCAAATTTAAAATACTTCACAAAAGTAGAATGTGTTTGCTGCTGTTTTATGTTATATCTGACACTCACAAAATATAACAACATCAAATATACATAATTTGTTCAAAAAGAATTTCTTTGTATATACACAAGTCAATAGATTAATTTACGTCAAAAAATATTTTTGTATTTAAATTTAAAATTATTTGACTATTGGGTGGGTGTGTATGTTTATGTTGGGTTCTCCATTTATTAATTAATATCAACACATGCAATATCATACAATTTTTCACTGATAAATTAAGAACCTTTTTTTCCGTACACTAGATATTGAAAGTTAATTTGGATATCTTTAAATGTGCCTTTTTCCGGTAAAAAATCAAATATGTAAATGTGCCTTTTCTGTTTCTTTTTTTTTTTTGGGGTTAAAATATGAACATATCCGGACAAGATTTTACTTGGAAAAATAACAACAAAATCCCTTTAAAATATATAAATAATTTGATTCCTCAAAATATCATAATTTTCTTGAAGTCTCTAGAGACTGTTTTGTTATTAATGAATTTATATAAATTATCAAATTACTCTTGTTGAAAATAAATAATTCATAACTTTTCTTGTGTATTCGCAATTTTCTTTCTTATATTTGTAATAAGGCAACAATAAATAAGGAATTTAACATGTGAAATTGTAATTTGTTGTTGCATTGTTGTAAATTTAAGAAGAAAAGTTGTGAATTATTTATTTTCAACGAGGGTAATTTGATAATTTATATAAATTCATTAATGACAGAAAAATTCTTAAGGATTTTAGAGGAATTATGACATTTTGAAGGATCAAATTATCATTTATATATTTTAAAAAAATTTTATTGTCATTTTCTCAATTTATTTTGCTTCGGTGTGATGTTGAATGGCCTTTTTTAAACTTTAAAAGGAAATTAGGGAAGAGTACGGAAGGTGTGACAAGTGAAGGAGTAAAGGAAAACAAAAAGTTTACTCATACTTAGCTGCCGTTATTTTTTAGTTGAAATTGGACATCTATCTAGGATTTTTTTATTTTTTTTTAACCTCTGGGTTTGCTACTTGCTAGTGACTGAAGTAGTATGCTACAAATAGCTAGTGTTGGGATTGGTGGATTTGAATTTAAATTTTAGATTTAAAATTTCACATTACAAATTTCACATTTAAAAGTTAAATATTTAAAATTCTTTATTTGGATAGTTTAAAAAAATTCAAATTTAAAAAGTAATAATGGGAAAATCATTAACTTGGATAAGGATTTTAGTTAATTACTGCTTGATTATATTTTGGCGTTTTACATCTTTTTTGTTATTTGACTACTAGCATGGGTGCAAATGTTTAAGTCCAAGGGGTATCTCATTAATTTAACGCCTTGTAAATTACATCATAAATGCCCCCAATCTTCTAAATGAAAATGTATAATACATTATTATTGACACATTCATTTTGTATTTCATGTATTTTACGATCATGCTTGTACTAAGTGATTGGTTGTATAGGAATTCTGTGCAAGCAAAAAGACTGAAACATTTCAACCAGCTGAGTGTCTTATACTGTTCTAGGCAAAAAATCATTTGTTAGGTCAAACTCCTTACACTAGATATTGAAAAGTTAATTTGCACGTGCATAAATTTTTGTCAAAATAATTATTTTCTAATTTAAAATGATTTAAATTTTTATAATTATTTGACTATGATATAATACATACACATGGGTTCTCTATAATTATTAACTCATGCCAACACATGCAATATCATCATGAAATTTTTTTGATAGATAATATATGTAAGAATATACCATTCATGACAAAACATTATATGTGAGTCAAAATCTCTACATCAGATATTGAAAAGTTAGTTTTTGAATATTGTCATATCATTAGATAATTTTAATAATATTAATATTATTTGGATATTTATAAATGTATTGTGTATATTTATCTTTTTTTTTAAATGGTCGTTAACAAACTATTAAACTTTTTCAAAATTTATGTTAAAGTGATCTACTTTATATTTATATATATTTTTTAAATTTAAAATACTTCACAAAAGTAGAAAGTGGTTGCTGCTGTCATGTGTTATATCTGACACTCCCAAAATATAACAACATTAAATATATAGATTTTGTTCAAAAAGAATTTCTTTGTATATACAAGTCATTAGACTAATTTATGTCAAAAAAATCATTTTTATATTTAAATTTAAAATTATTTGACTATTGGGGTGTGTGTGTGTATGTTTCTATTGGGTTCTCTATTTATTAATTAATGTCAACATATGCAGTATCATACAATTTTTCATTCATAAATTAAGAATGCTTTTCGAGATAAAAATTCATCTGACTAAATATTGGAAAGTTAGTTGGATATTGTTATATCATTAGATAATTTTGTTGATGTTAATAATATTTGATATTTGTAAATGACTGTATTTTGCACATTAATCCTTTTTTTTGGGTTAAAATATGATGATACTTAATTTGCATTGTTATTGAGTTTCACTAAAGTAAAATGTTAAATTTACATTTCTATCAATCGGAAAACTTACTTGTAGGAAATTAAGGAGCATATGGAAGATGTCACAAGTGAAGCTGCAAAGGAATCTAAAGTACAAGAGATTGTGAATGTTGACAGACCACTCATCCCAAGTGTGGGCACCCAATATTTTCTCAACTTCCGCAATCTAAAAGAAATAACAGTAAGGATAAACAAGAAGTTGAAAATCTCTGTTCTCTGTCTCCACATGCAGAAGCCTATCACAGTTGTCCAGGTTGGTTATACGGTGCTGTGAGGAATTAGTTAATGTTGTTGAACAAGATTTTAATGGTCATCGTCAAATGAACTATAGTTCCATTTTCCCAAAACTGGAGCATCTACAAATCTGGATGTGCAACAAGCTGGAGTTTATATTTCCTTTCTCTCTTTATGGTGGTCTTCAAAAATTAAAATATTTGCAAATCTGGGAAGCTACTGAGTTGAAATACATTTTTGGAAAATGTTATGATGAAGATCATTTATCAAATGAGAATGAAAATGATAAGCATCATATTGATCTCTCTGCTTTGGAAGAACTGACACTTGAAGATGTACCAAAGATGATAAATATTTGTGCAAAGAAATATCTGCCATTGCCATCTCTACGAAGCATTCTTTTGGACGGTCTAGAGTTCAACGGAAGATCTTTTCTTGATTGTATGGCTTATTTACAAGGAATACAATTGAATGTGAAAGCTCCAGAGGTAACACTTTATGTGCATTTGCCATGTTTATTTGATCCTTTTTTTTAAAACTTTTCTTTTTGTTACAAAGGATTGCTTCTCATGCATAAAAATTTGTCTTTTCGAAACATGAAATTCTAAAAATTTGTCTTTTCAAAACATGAAATTCTAAATTTTCATACACAAATGTTTTTAATTTTCATTCATAAAAATTTGGCTTTCTTTAATGCATTCTTTTTGTCAAATTTAAAAAAGAATGTTGCGCAAGACTAGAAGGTGTGCGTTTGTGTTTTGTGAATGAGTGCGTTCTCAATCACAAGACAGAGACAAAGAACCGCATTCTAAATTTTTGGCTCAAAATATATAGAACTAGTTCACAAGATTTTTCTATATATGCACGTGTATAAATTTGTGTCAAAATAATCACTTTTATAGTTAAATAGATTTAAATTTTACCATTACTGGACAATGAAAATATATGTGTGAGTGTTTTCTCTATAATTATTAACTCATGTCAATCCGTGCAATAAAAGACTATATATACTTCGCCAGACACCCAAAAAAAAAAAAAAAAGCAGCATATGTCTGGTCAAAATCCTTGCACTAGATATTGGAAGTTAATTTTTGGATATTATTATTATTGGATAATTTTTATAATGTTTATAATACTTGGATATCAGTAAACATATTATGCATATTTATGCGATTGCGATTTATATTTAAAATATGATAATATTGGAATTGAATTGCCTCTTTGAAAACTTGTAGGACATGAAGAAGCATATGAAAGATGTGACCAGTGAAGGAGTAAAGAAATATGAAATACAAGAGATTGTTAAAGTTGACAGGCCAGTCCCAACAGCGGGCTTCCAATGTTTTCTCAAAGACATAAGAATATATAGTTGCAAAAAGTTGAAAGCTCTGTTCTCTGTCTCTGCATGCAGAAGCCTACCACAGTTGTCCGTGTTGGTTATAGGGCGATGTGAGGAATTAGTTAATGTGGTTGAAGAAGATTTTAATGGTCATCATCAAATGAACTATAGTTCCACTTTCCCAAAACTGGAGCATCTAAAAATCTGAGTGCAACAAGCTGGAGTTTATATTTCCTTTCTCTCTTTTTGGTGGTCTTCAAAAATTAAAATATTTGGAAATCTGGAAAGCTACTGAGTTGAAATACATTTTTGGGAAATGTTATGATGAAGATCATTTATCAAATGAGAATGAAAGTGATGAGCATCATATTTTTCTCCCTGCTTTGGAAGAAATGATACTTAAAGATGTACCAAAGATGATCAACAATATTTGGGCAAAGAAATGTCATCTGGGATTGCCTTCTCTACAGAGTATTAATTTGGATGGTCAAGAGTTCAATGGAAGATCTTTTCTCAATTTGATGGCTTACTTACAAGGAATACGATTGAATGTGAAAGCTCCAGAGGTAACACATTAATTTGAGTTGTCACGTCAAGACATGAAACTACCAAATTTTCATGCATAGATATTAATAATTTAGTTTTCATTTAAAATTCGTGTATACACATATATGCCTTTAGTCAAATTCTTAAAAGTAGATGTCGTTTATTGAGAAAGTAATTAATAACCTTAAATTGAATCTAAAAATTTCCACTAAATACTTTAAAATAAAGATGCACCATATGTTTATCAATAAGAGCAAGTAAACACGGATCAACTTCTAAAGTACATAGACATTATATAACATTAGGTAGATATAATTAAGCATAATCCATGTCAAAATATCTCTGTAAACGTTCGGTGTCAATAGATAAACTCTCTCTTTTAATAATCCCTATTGAGACATTCATGAATAATAGTATATATTGAAAATTTGCACAATTTATGAATGCGATAATTTTAATTCACACTGAAATTTCGAATTGATGTATTTTTAATAGGACGTGATGAAAATTATAAAGGATATGCAGAAGTTGACATATCTTAAAGTGAGCAACTCCAACATAGAAGATGTTCTTAATTTGGAAGCAGAAATTGAAGGTCCAGTGACATTAAGCTTAGAAAGAATGATTTTGAAAAATCTAAGCGAGTTGAGGCATATATGGAAGGGTCCCAAATATATTTTGAGCCTCCACAATCTTTCCGAACTAATAATCGAAGAGTGTAAGAAGCTAAGGGCCATCTTCTCTGTCTCAATATTGAAAAGCCTCCCACAATTGTCCTCTGTAACGATAGAAGGCCGTGATGAATTAGTTGACATTATTGAAGAGAGTGCTGAGAATCATTTGCATCAACCTTGCTTCCGAAAGTTAGAACGAATTGTGATCAAGCGTTGTAATAGATTGAAATACCTTTTCTCCTTGTCAACACCTTCCATGTTTCCAAAGCTGTGGAAATTGGAAATAGAAGAAGCCTCAAAGTTGGAGCAAGTATTTATGCGCAAACAGAATGATACAGAGAACATGGTGCTGAAGGATGTGTTCCCAGATCTTTGGATAATAAGACTCAAGAGTTTGCCAATGCTCGCTGCTATTTGTAGTGGGATCAGTTTCCAAACTGCGCCATATCTTGAAGTAGTTGATTGTCCCAAATATCAAGGTGTAAATTTGAAAAAAGTCACTTCTCATAATTGTTAGTTTAAGACTATTAATATTCTATTAAAATTAATATAATATCGAAAAATCTGTTGCAGAAATTACAGCTCAGCTGCAAGAAGGACATTCAAATTTGGAATCGAAAAATCAAGCAAAAACAGAGGAGCAACTCTATGTGAATTCTGAAAATGCTCAGGTTGTGCCATATATGGGAGAAACAAGTGGTTCATCATCAAATTTAGCAAAGGTATACTAGACTGATAATTATATGAATAAAGAAAATTTTTACTTTTGATCATTTGATCATTTAGATCTAAATATGCTGGAATTAGTGAGCTTAAATTCCAATTTTAATAAACTAAAAATTTTTTGTCTTCTCTTTTGCTACTCCTTCCATCCCTGTATATAAGATATTTTTAACCAATTTATCTTGCATATTAATAAAAGTTTATTATTTAATTGAAAACACAAAACCATAACAATTTTTCAGTTTTGCCTCTGATAATATTACAATTAATATCACAGTGGTGGTAAAGCATATAGTTAATGTCTCTTCCTCTCTTCAAGATAATAATTAGGTCAAAATTTTACAAATTACTTAAAAATATTATGACATCCCTTATATGTAGAGACAAAACAAGCTTTTTGAAAACACCTTATATATAAGGATGGAGAGAGTAATGAATCAAACTCTTTCAAAAACATATTCACATCTAATTTGTTTGTTTCTTCTGATGGTTGTAAAATTTCTTTGGAATAAATCAAAAAAAAAAAAATTATTGAAAAAGCTTTCATTTCTTTTAATTTACATACATACTTGCAGATAGAGATTAAATTCAATGGTTCATATATATTATTTGAAGCAAGAAAAGGAAGCTAATTTTAGTAGTTGTGGAAAAGAACAGGGGCATTCTGTTGAAGGTTCCAAACAGAACAAAGGAATATGCCACGTGACTTAGACTATTTTTTATATCATTAATATGTACTAAGAAAGGTTTTAACTGAAATGTTTAATTAACAAACAGCTATATTTGATGAAGCTAGGATATAATAACTTACATCAACTCATTATGAGATCTAAAGTTAATTATTGAAGATTTGAAAAAAAGAAAGAATAATACTTATAATATGTAAGATATGTTGTTGGGTTGAATGTTCTAGACTTATTTGCACATAAAAAATCTAGCAAAATTAATTCATGGATAAAATGTACCTTTTTTTGATATTGTAGATTAAGGAAGAAACATTAATGGAAGTTCAAGCTAAAGATCCTACTCTTTCTTTGGAGAAACATGCAACAGAAACTTTAGCGGCTGAATCACAATTGAGAAGGACATCTGTACATGTAAGTTTATAGATTATTTAAGTAATTTCAACAGTCAAAATGATTTTTCTGTTAATTATTTAATATTCCTAAGGAGTTTGACGATGAACGTGAAATAAGCAATTCAACTATGCAGCTCCAACATAAGGATCTTGCAGAAATAAAGTCCACCATTAAAGCTTCTCATAAAACCAGTATACCATTTGATGATTATGTAAGTTATAGAATAGAAGACTATTTTTTTGTTAAGTTTAATCAATACGAAATTAGATATCTTGTTACTATTATATGTTATTTAGAGTATGGATCACGTAATAAAAGAAAGAGTTCAAGAAGGTCCTACCCCAGAGGATGTAGTGGTAGCAATTATGATAGCTGAGTTAGCAGCAAGAAAGTCATCTTCAGAATTAATCACTCCTCTCCAAGAAGAGTTGTCATCTTCAGCTAAACATGTACCTTGTTCTCTACTCATTGCTTCTTTTAGGATTTGATGCTGTTGGAATCAAGAAGAAAAACAATAAGAGAAAAGATGATTGTTGTATACTAGAACTCTTTAAAAAATTTTGATATAAGAATTCTAATTAAACAACTTGATTCTTACATATCTTTTGGTACTTCCATAGAATGTGGCTGAAAGCTTTCGACAAGACACTTCAATTAAGAAAACTAGAATGGTTGCTACCTCAGTTCCTGATGAAGAAACAAAGAAGGATATTAGCAGAGTAATTGATCCTGCTCCTGCTTCAAAGTTATTGGCAACAACTTCATCTTCTTTTCAGGTGATCAAAATGGAATTTCTTACCTATATATATATATATATTCCATCACATGAAAAACTTGCAAGTTTATTTTTTAAATGGATTCGTTCAAACTGTAAGGTATGATAGACTAACTCTTCTATACATATTTATATTTGGTATATAATATGTTGATCCATTAACAACCAAGGACTAAACAAAATTTAGTTAAATCAATTGATGAAGTTGCTTTATTAAGCAAATGCTATCATTAATGATTTATTCAGAGCTTAGAAAAAGTAAAAGAAGTTGTAGGAATAGCTATGCCTTCAGAGTCAATATATTCTAGACAATATTGTATTTTCTTTTTCTGCATCCTTTCTTTCACTAACAATAAATATTCTAGACAATATATATATTCCATTTGAACTTTATTTTTGTCATTTATAGGCTTCAATGTAGCTAGAAAAGGACTATAGTAGTGAACGAAGAAAATATAAACGACTTAATATAATGAAGTTATCCCAGTGAACTAATTAGCTATGTCTTTCAGTATGACTTGGAATTATGAAGAAACAGAGAAAGAAACTGGCAAAAAAGGAGCTTAAAAATAGGTCAAACTTCAAATTTGAGGATAAAAAAGGCCAACTCTTTTTTATGTGTATGTAAAATTGGAAGTATTCTAGCAGATACTATAACTATGAAAGATAAAATAAATGCTTCCTCAATTAGTTCACAAGCAGAAGTATCTCCATCAAGTCTATATGCCTTTGTAAGTTTGTAGTTTTCATATTAAAACCATTAATTACATCTATATTTTTGTTATTTATATTCCAAATGTAGCTAGAGCTTTAGAATGTCATTGGAAGAGCACAATCAGTGAATAGAGAAACTTTCTTCATGCGTTTTAGGTTGCTAATATGAAAGAAGCACATGAACAAGACTTCGAAGATAATGTTGAAACAGAGGAAGCTATGATGGCAATTCAATCCACTGATCTAGAGTCAGTGAAGAAATTTATAGGATCATCCATGACTGCACAAGTAAATGCATTATTCTTATTAATATAGAATCTGATGTAGCTTCATAGTTTTTACTTGTGCTTATTATAATTATGGGAATTATAATGCTTTTCCATGAATTCATGAACTTGTTTGATTGAACAAATTTTTGTCATGTTTATGTTATTTAGAGCTCAGAAACAGGGAAAGAAGCTGTTGGAGTGGTCCTTACTTCAGGGTTATCAGTGGCTACAACTTCATCAAATTTAGAGGTTATCAAAATTATATCTCTAAACTCTATCTCTCTTATTAACATGAAAGTGGTTGTAAAAGATAAAACTAACTTTTTTTATAGCAAACATCCAATGGCTAAACCACAAGCACTTGCATGAATTGGAAGAAATGACAACTATTGTATACTCTCTCTTCTCAGAAAAGGGTACTTTTAATTAAGTGACCAAATACTTACATATCCCTTTTGTGTTTGTACAGAGAAGAATTGAAAGTATTCCAGAAGAGACCACACCTATTAAAGATAAAATAGATGCCTTCTCAATTAGTTCACAAGCAGAAGGATCTCCATCAAGTCTACCTGCAATTGTAAGTTTCTTAGAACTATAATTAAATATTGGATAAGGAAGACCAAGATCTATGAATTAATGAAGTTACCCTAGTGAACCATTCAATCATATCCCTTGATATCTCTCAGATTTATAAAGAAATTGAGGAGGTGGATAAAAGATATTGAATGAATGCAACAGCGATCATTAATGAGAGTGCGAATGTATCTATTTATAATCAGAAGCATACATCACTTAGTTGTATTAGTTACAGTAACTAAACACGTGGGCATACAGCTAGCTAGATTAGAATAAGTTGCAACTAAAAGCCTTCTGTGGAAGGGAGTTACAATAGTGCCACATGTTATATCTTGACAAATTTAATGATCAAAATGGAATCTCATAAACTTGCAAAAGCATGTTGTGATGATGTTTTAAATTGATTTAAATAACTATTTTCTATACATTTTTACTTGGTATGATAGGAAGAGGATGAACAACCAAGGACTATGTCAAATTTGACACATCAATTGACGCTTATAGAAGGAAAAAGTGAAATCAGAATTGGACGGGCAGCTTAATCTTTTAACTGCTGCAGATTAAACAAAGTCTGAGTTGGTTAAAATGAAATTTCTTTAAAGATTATAAAAATTAGGACTTACTTGTATTTGTTTTTTAAATATGGTTAACGCACATTTGATGACTAAACAACAAGCCTTTAGATTCTTGATTCTTGAACATGGAAAAACAGAACAGTATACATTCTTTAGTGTCTTTCTTAAAGTTGCAAATGCTAATGGCAGTAAAATTGCAACTTATTTCTTCTTACTTTTAGATTACTCAAACCACCAAATATACAGTAGAACAATGCCGTGAAGAGAATTATGTAGAAGCTGATGCCATGATAGCAGTTCAATCAACTAACTCAGATTCAAGGAAGCAATCTACAGGACCAATTGGTAACAACAACAACAACAACAACAAGCCTTTATCCCACTAGGTGGGGTCGGCTACATGGATTGCGAGACGCCATTGTGCTCTATCATTTATCAAGCTTTTAGGAATATTATTAATTAAGAGATCACGTTCAACAACTTCCAAGAGTGTTCTCTTAGGCCTTCCTCTACCTCTCTTAATCGAACTCAAAGTTATATGTTCCACTCTTCTCACTGGTGCCTCCCTTGATCTTCTTTGTACATGCCCAAACCATCTCAACCGATTTTCTACCATTTTTTCTCAATAGGTGCCACGCTCACTTTTTCGCGTATGTGCTCATTTCGAATTTTATCTTTACGTGTATGTCCGCACATCCATCGTAACATTCTCATCTCTACTACTCCAACTTTATGCTCTTGTTGTCCCGTTAGATCCCAGCATTCACTACTATATAACATTGCCGGTCTGATAGCAGTGCGATAAAACTTTCCTTTAAGTTTATTAGGCACCTTACGGTCACAAATAACTCCTTTAGCTTTTCTCCAATTAAACCACCCAGCTTGAATTTTATGTGAAATATCTCCACTGATTTCACCATCATTTTGAATAATGGCCCCCAAATATCTAAATTTTTCCACTTGAGGTATAATTTGATCTCCCAATTTTACTTCTAAATTATTTTCGAACAGTTCTTTACCAAATTTATAATATAAATATTCCGTCTTACTTCTACTTAGACGAAAACCTTTTGACTCCAATGTCCTCCTCCATAACTCAAGTTTGCAATTAACCTCTTCTCTTGTCTCTGCTATAAGAACTATATCATCCGCGAAGAGCATACATTTCGGGATTTCCTCTTGAATATGTTCCGTCAAAACATTTAAAATCAAGTTGAACAAATAAGGACTCAGAGATGATCCCTGATGTAGTCCAATCTTTATAGGAAAATCCTTTGTTTGATCACTAGGCGTTCTTATACTAGTTTTTAACCCCTCATACATATCTTGTATGGCTTTAATATAAGCAATCCGTACTCCTTTTAGAAAATATTTTGCACAAGTAAGTTCATGACCCTGATCTAATTATAGAAATTAAAGTAGTCTGTATGATTTAATTTTTCATTATTCATCATTATGGGAGATAATCACTCTCAAACTTAAATAAGCTTCACAATGACTCTTAACAATTAATTATTGACAACTTGCAAACGCCCAAATGTTGATGTCTGTTAGAGTGCTAAAGAAACAGCAACAGGAATTGATACAACAATTGCTGCTACGGAGACATCACCAACGGCAACTCCAATTGAGTCAGAATTCATCAAAACACATGTACATCTTTTGAGCTCTAACATAGTTGTAAACATCAATTTATTTGTAAAAGACAGAACCAAATAATGACAACTATGTGCATTTTCTTTTTGTTCTCAGCAGACTATTAAAGAAGTGAGAGGTTCAATTGTTCAAGTGGAATCTGAATCAGAGAAGCTTGAAAAGACAAACCCTCCTGAAGTTATTCCTTCTGTCGATCAACGTAAGTGTCTTTTTCTATGCAGTGATTTTATGTTCTTTTTTCTCTCAACCATCCACTAACTTTCTAGGCTATAACAGAATCACAAGTTGCTAATGCTGGCACTTCTCCTAAATTGGGGGTTTGTGAGATTTTCCAACTCGTGGAGCTGAAACATAGTGAAACAGCTTTACTTGCACAAGCACTTGAACAATACCCTCAACTATTGTTACCTCATGAACATCGCTCACACCGTATGATGCTTGGTCCTACCGAGTTTTGGTTGATATTTTGGTTGTGCTAAATACCAAGACTCCTTGTACCATCACAAGTTCAGAGAAGTCAACCTTCGAGGCTAACTCATGTGATGCAACCTTGCTTGGGTTTCACAAGGACTGGGTTGATTCAGTGCGGGCTAGAGTTCTTAATGTTGACTTGTCTGATGTCTTGGCGGCTGAAGAGGAGATTCAAGTCATGGAGGCCGAGCTTGAGACATGTGACATTGCCTTAGAGCAAGTTCGAAAGCAAAGACTAGAAGCCAAACAGAGGCTTGCAGTGGTAAGAAGACAGTTGGAGATTGCACAAACTGAGATTGAAGCCATTGATTCTCAATTGTCAAGTCTCCTCGAAAATCACAAGAAATTGCTGACGAGGATAGCTGAGTTTAGAGAAATAATAAGTGCCAAGGATACACCCTTTGGCATTTAAGTGTGTGTTTGGTTAAGTTCTTTTGTTATTTCATTTACGTTTCTAAAAAGACTAAAAAACAGTGAACCATAATGCATATGACATGGACCAACATTTCTCTATGTTCAATTAAATAAGAGGACGGAGCTTGAACTCTGATGCATGGATTGAAATTCGGCCTTATATGTTTGATGGACGAGCCATCTCTATTATTGGCAATGATTTATCAATTGTCCCCAAAGCTGACGAGTCCTCTAAAAAATGAAGGGAAACAGAGTAAAATCATTAGGATCATTTATCTTGTCTGAAAGTACTCTTTTAAGCCATCTATACAAGTTAATGAAATTTAAATTTGATATCCTTCAAATTACTTGAACATTTGAAATTTTTAAATCTCAATTTCTCGCTTTTGGATATTAATATTGCTAGTTATCTGGCTAATTGTAGAAATGCCTAGATGTCCAGTTGTTAAAAGAGACTTATTATTATTCTATAGTATGATAACGATGACTTTAAGTACTGTTATTCATGGACTAGTTATATGGGGTATAAAGAAATAGGAGGTTTCTTTGTTTTTTTTTTCTTTTTGCCTTATAATCATATCTTCTGCACCATGGCGCAAGGTTTATCAATGAGGTGCGATAATAATTATCTATGAGATTGTGTTGAAAACAAATATCTTCTGAAAATAATATTATAATCGTTGACTGGGGGGAAGTGACAATTAAGGACCCCTATGGTTAGTAATTTTAATTAAAGACCATAAAATATTGAAATCTAAATTAAGAAACATGGTCTACTTGGAATTTAAAAAGATGAGAATCATCTTAAATGCACCTCAAGAAAAAATCATTTAGTGAAGTTATAAATTTTCAAGTTACTTTTGTATATTCATAAATAACCTTAAAACGTTTCAAAAGTGAATTTCTTTTGTATTGGGAAACAAATTCTCAAGTGTGGTTCTTTATTTCCTAATTGACATCAATAATATTCTCATGTCATGATATTAATTTCAACAATGTCATCTTTTTATTTTTCAAGTGGTAACTATATATAAATAAGTATGAAATTTAACAAATCATTGGGCTCATATTCTTGAGTGAAGTTTGTAAATTTTCAAGTCATTTTTGCATATTCATAAGTGACCTTAAAACTTTTTAATAGTAAGTTTCTTTTCCCAACATGGTTCCTTGTTTTCCCAACTAATATTAACAATATTTCCGTTTTATGATAGTAATTTCAGTAATGTGATGTATATTTTTTAGTGTTTAGTGGAGAGTAATTTTGTAAAGTGATGCATGCTTTTTATTCCAAGTAAGAACCATGATCCTTAATTCATATTTAATATATTATGGTCCCCAATTGAAATTAATAACATTAGAGGGTCCTTAATTGCCATTTTCCCTTGTTTGGTCTCATCTTATATAGTTTTTGTTTTGACCACGGCGGATAATTAAACCAGCACCATCAATTTAAAAAATGTGTCATTAGTTGCATCCATAATAGAAAGCTGCATTATCCTCAGGGGAAAAGAGAGAAAAAATTACCATCAACTACTTGATTCAATTGCTAGCACATTGTTTAATTAGAACTTTACTGCTCTTTGTGGTACTATTTGACTGAATCCAAATTAATCATATTTTTGATAAGTCCTAGCCAGCATGTGTGTATTATAACTTATGTATCACACCCGATTCTAAGGGTATGACCCGCATAGAATGTGAGATACTCACATTTCATAAGCCTTAATTAATCAAGGATTAAACTAAATTATCAATATATGATTTATAAAGTTCATAAAATATTACACATTCCGTAAAAATTTTGATAGAATCCCCTTATAACTAGGACTTCCCAAAATTTTTACAGAAGCAAAACCTATTAGCCAAACCAAAAATGAACTTAGCTCCACCTAAGAGATTTATATTAGCAAAATAAAACTAAGACCTAACTATGATATACGTAGAGCACTAAATTTATAATTTTAATATAATATAATTACATCAAAATGAATGGTCAAAAATTGCTCCCACTATCCAAAAGGCAGTACTGCCCCTTAATGATCAGCAGGAGATGCAAGGTCAGCTATGATATCTAAGATCAAAGAAATTTTTAGTGAGTAGCATCCCAATTGAGTTTATAAATTATAAATTGATAAATAAAAATAAAAAAGTGAAAATAGTAACTAATAATTTAATTTAAACAAATCAAGGAAATAATGAAACACTTGCTTTAATTAACAATAAATGACAAGTTTGCTTAATGGTATAATGGAGGAACCAACAACAATATTAGAATCAGATAAGTTTATAAAAAAAATTTATAAAATTTATAAAATTTCAAATAATGATGCAATTTTAAAAAAAGCCTTTAAAGAAATTAGTATAAAAATGATAAGTTTTAAGCTCAATCTAGAAGGGCTTTATCAGAACGAATAACAAGTGTCAACACACAGTCCGTGAGGGTAAATAACATATTCGGCATGGCTAAAAGTCATGAAAAACAAGCACAAGAATAAAGCTTATGAATAACAAACGTGGATTATATCATCAAAACTACATCCTCCATTCCACATGTTAGCTAGCACACGAGGCTAGCATTTCCAGTACACCTTACTAGCTACGTATACCATAGCACATCAAAGGCTAACAGAACTGCTGTTAGCATTTAACATTTTGAATGCAATCCCCCTACTTAAAATCAAGCGTGCATAGAGCAAGAATAAAAATTTCAAAATTTTCCACTTTCAAATAAGTTGTTCAATAATCATTTTCCATTTCTTATGTTCATCTTCCTATCCTCTGTGCACGAACTGTCATATTAAAAATTTTCATATCAAACATAGAATTTATTAAGTAAGTTACTTTTCAGACGTAATACCATTTGTCATATATCAACTTCGATCATTACTTGTTAATAACATAAATCATGAGAAAAATCAAGAAATCATCATTTATAAATCAATTATTATAAAAATAGAATTTGCAAGAATATTTATATCGCCTATAAAAGAACAATATTAAAATTCAAATAAAAATTTTTATAAATATTTTACTAGAGATTTATTCGGAACACTACCCACTCACCTGAGGGTTTTCAATAATATTATAATTAGACTCCCTCAATTTCACACTTACTTCAGTGATGCCCCAATTTAACCTAGCATTTAAACCAATAACTCTTATGTCATCATGATTTTCCTTCTTCATATAAGCAAGTGAATTAATATTCAAACTCTTCAAGAATTCTTTAAATTTTCTCATTAACCCCTCAAACTCTCACTGAATACTCTAATAAATTCCATCAAGTAATCAACAACACTTGACAGCATTCAACCTTGATCATTAACACAGCTCTTAATTTAAACTTAACAAAATCTTAATTATCATTTAGTCTAACAATTTCCCTTTAGTTGCTATACAAATTCCAATAGGTAAATCAACGTCACAAAATAATATGAAGACATATACTTCCTCAAGTAGCATATATAATTCCTCTAGGTTCTAGTAATGAAAATTAAACAATCTGATTCCCTTCAATTTCTTCTTTCAAACATTACTACAAGCACTATAAGAACATTCACAATTAACTGAATTATATGACAAGCATCCAAGCAAAATCAACAATTTCCAACATCTAATTTCTTCACCACATTTTCAGCTCAACATAATAATAAAAATAGTGAAGAACAAAGCACCATCCTCGACCAGTGAAGGAAAAAGAATTATTCACGTAGCTATTGAAATCGAAGGAGAAGAAGGAAGAATTAGTGTTTTACCCTACCAAAGTAGAGAGGAAGCTGTCACATTTCAGCTCTTGGACCACTAAAGAAGAGAAGAATTCTGCCCAGCTGTTCTTCGAAGAGGGTGAGAAGTGTTATCTAAAATATTCTTTAAATATCTTTTATTATTATTGTGTATATATCTCAATTATTATAAGGAGATATTATTTGATATTATTAATTATTATTATATTTTCTATTTTCTTTGTGTATATAATGTAACCTTCATCTCAAATAATAGATATGACATTTTTCAATCCTTCTCTAGTTTATCTCTCGTCTCTAATAACTCTCATGGTATCAGAGCCATATAATATTTTTTTTCTCACGATAAGTTAGGTTTTGAAGAGTGTTAGCTCTCCTTCATAGCAGTGTTGCCATCTTTCATCACGAGTTCAGATCTACCTTAAATTTATTTTCGCATATCCACACGCAGCTTTGGTATATTGACAATTTCAGATTCGTTAACCGTTGGATCGTGCTGAAATTTGGTCAACAAGTAAAGAACATCCAACACATCATTATGAACAGTTGGATCGTTGACTAATTTCCTGGTGTGAGCGCTATGCCATTCGTACTATAGTCTGTAGTTTAGATGTTTTTAATCCTTCATTCTCTTTTATAAGCTTTTTTTTTGTTCCTTAAAAAAAATGGCAAATTCAAATGTTGTTCAATCTGTATTAGTTACCTTAAATGGTTGCAATTACCGTCTTTAGTTGGAAAAATGTGATTTTGCTCAGCCTACTTTAGGATCCTCTCCGATTGAACTTGAAACTTTGTTGCGCACATTCATCTCCGGTTCCTCTAGCCCATCTGCTGCCTTATCTACTCTCATCGATAAATCCACTTGGTATTTTGACTCTGCTTGCTGCAATCATATGACAAGTCAAGAAAATTTCTTCTCCTCTATGACACCTAACTCTACTGTTTATCCTATACACATTGCTGATAATTCCCAAATGCCTGTTAGTCATATTGGTACTGTCTCCTTGCCTTCCCTATCCATTCATGATACATATTTTGTTCCTACTATTAACTTTAACCTTTTTTCTGTTGGACAACTTGTTAATATAGGTTATGACGTGTTATTTAATAAACGTGGTTGTGTTGTGATGGATTCTCAAACAGGACAGGTTGTCGGGACCGGGCGCAAAGTTGGTCGCATGTTTGAGCTCACGTCAATGCACCTACCTAAGATCACTGTTCCCACATTGTGTGCTGCCTTCACATCCTCTTCTCCTGATTCTTCTCTCGACCTCTGGCATCGTCGTCTTGCTCACCGTTCTTTAAGTAAATTGCGTCCTTTAATTTCTAGTGATCTTTTAGGTCATGTTCTTAGTCATTCTTTGCAATGCGTTTCTTGTCAAACTACCAAACAACCCGCTTTGTCTT